CCCCAAAACCCCAAAACCCCAAAACCCCAAAACCCCATCAGATATGAGTTTACACTATAAGCAACATTACAATAAAAGTCGCTTCAAATTTTTAATTCAGTAAAAAAACAAAAAAGATATTTTAATGATCAACTTGAAGCCATTTTATTTGAGATTCAGTCTCTTTTTAGTTACATATGAGGAACTCTAAAATATCTTACAATTCCGCAGACTATGTAATAAACTAAAATATTAGGAATCATGATAATTAGGCAGACAACAAGGGAAAACCAATCTTCCCATGGCAAAAATGGATAGACAGGTGATCCACGTAATTTAGTTGCTACAAAGTTGACAAAAAAATAAGTAATGCTATAAATCACCATCATTTTAGAATGCTCATAGAAGAATACCAGCTTCGAAACAAGAACATTGAGAAAGATACTGATAGCTGGAACAATGTGTATATAGATCATTAATTAGTGGAATTTCCAAGCCCATTCTGGGTTTTAAGCTTAATGTTTTTCAACAATTTTAAGTGATTCCTCATGCAGCACTGGCCAGTATATCGCAACAATTGCAAATTATGATATGAATGCGATTTCATTGAAAATTCCTGCAATTCTTTTGAAGTTGATATTATTTCTATACATATCAGACTTTGCCATAATAGACAAAACAATAGCAATATTGACTATATGCATACCCCAGCAGGTAAAATAAAAGAATGTATCTACAAATGACTAAACAAATATGCTTCCTATAAATGTAGCTATTGATGGTATGAGCAAGATAAATCTAATAAGTGAAAGATTCTCGTCCGAGACCAAGCTAGGACAAGCAGATTCCTCAAAGTTAAAGTAAGATTCAATCTTTTGTTCCTCATCGGTCAGTTTCTTTGTGATTAGTGGTTACTTAATGCTAGACATTTATCTACTCTGATTATTTAATTTATTTACAATTCAGTAATGAATCATATATTGAGCTTTTTTATATTCGAGGGGTTTTGGGGTTTTGGGGTTTTGGGG